CAGTAAATGTAAATCAAAATCTTTTGAAAACATTTTTCACAAATATTATATGCTCAAACATAAGCAAAAAAAGATTTTTTGATTAGAAATCTTCGTCGATATAATTAGGTTAAAGCCAAATACGTAGCTAGTCGTATCTACGAGGGTGGATGTGGGGGTTATTTGAATGAAAGGTTCCACGCACACCCACACACCCCCAAGGCTTTATACTTTTTCTACTATTAGTCGTCGATTTCTTCTTCTATTTTATGTATCAAAAGACAAAACAAGGTTGTCAGTATCTTCATTGAAGAAGAATTCCATTTTCTTCAGATTTTTCTAGCTGAAAGATTCGTTATTCGAAACAGTCTTTCAGCTCATTTCAAAAACCATTAAATCACTTTTACTTAACATGTGTTCTATAGTAAACGCTAGCTGAAAACATGTGAAACTTTTACTGTTCTTGTTTTTTTCTACTGACGACGAAATCATGTTGTAACATTTGTCTTTAAATGAGTGCGTTTTGTCGTTCTTTTCTATGCAGAGAACGTTCGTTAATAGAAAAGAAAAATTTATTTATATTGCTTATTGATGCACATAATTGAAATATAATTGCATCTTGTAGCATTTCAAGGTTATATTGATGGCAATTTTAGAGAAAAATGTATATTGTTTATGAAAGCAGAGCGGAGAAATAATAAAACAACAGAACAGGAGGAGAATCGTTTTGTCGATATAAATATGCGAGTGTTTCTTCATGTACTTTCATTACTGACGAGAAGAAAAAACTTGCGATGGATGACAAATTTTCTTATAAGCCCGTCACAGATGCAGACATAGAATTATTCAACAAAGTAAAGAAATTTATTCATTTAGATTCTCTAAAGATACATTGATATTTTCTTTTAGCATAAAGATGCTATTAATGCTGCAGTTCGAAGCAAAATTTCATCTGTTCCTGCCGATTTCGATTTGAAACCGGTACGAGTTCGTCACGTAGAAGCGTGTGGTACGATCCATGATTATAGGGTAGAATTAATCACTCGATATTTCATCAATAAATATATCTCATTTATTTTTCAGATCGCTTTACCAGAAAATAAATTCGTTAAGATTTCATTTTTAACAGGTGGAGCTTTTATGCGACCACCTGATCAACCTGATTGGAAACCACCAGGACCTACAATCTCTGTCGACGACTCGATAAAATCAACACCTGATGAAGAATAAACGATTTTTTTTTCGATCAATTTTTGCACTTGCTCTTATTTACTAGTATAATTTGATATTTTCTCAAATAAAATTATATTGAAAATGCAGCGTAGACTAACAACAGAATCCTTATGTTTAAAAATTTTATTAAAAAATGAAACATAATTAAATTTAATAAGAGATAAGAAGCTCGAGCAAACAATAAAAGTAACATGTAAAGTAAGAAAATAGGCAAAAGGGTTTATTTATTTTGCTTTTTCTTATGTTTTCTGCTACTTAAAAACTCCTGCTATCCTGTGCACTGTTTGTACACTTACGTTATGCTTTTTCTACTGTTTATGTGCATTAGTATGCATTATTAATGTACAGATCTTTGAATCCTGGATAGGTCACAAGTAACTATATTTTCAATCAAGATTACTTCTATAAAGAAAGAAAATATTGCATTGCGATAGAAAGATACTTTTTTTACTGTTTGAATAATGTTTTTTTTTCCAAGGCTCAGTATGATGAATTGTTTTTGTTTTCAAGCTCAGAGATTCAATACAAGTTGTTCGCATTTCGAAGTTGCTCAAGTACTTCATAGATGCAGTATGTTTGCATTCGCATAGTAAACTAAGATTCTTTTTAACGAGAAAACTGTAAAACTACGTCATTCGTTCTTTGTTGCTATCGGCGTTCTTTTGCACCGATGAATAAACTTTTTCTTATGTTTATTCAGAATTCTGTTTTTAGAAATATCTACTTCTGTATTTGTTTATTTAAAATTTCAATATGAAACAAAATCTCGGAAATACCATTGTACGCTTTCATCGTTCACTACACTATCATGGAAAGAAACCAGATAATAAAATGTGTAAGATAAAAATAACTTTGAAGCAAGAAAGAGAAAAATGTTTCTAAAACCGCGTTTAGTATAAAATTTACAGGAAATAAATTCTATTTCTAAAAATAAAACATATGCAAAAAGTTTTTATTCTTGATATATTTAATTTAAAACGACTTTGTTTTTCGAAATCATTATCATCGTTTTCTTTTTCTTTACTTGGAAATTATATCTTGCGAACTGAAAGAGAAAGATGGGTGGATCATGTTCGAATGATGTCATAGAGTCGACGATAGTAAAACAGTCGAATCTCAGCTTCTATTCAACAGATTTCGATATTCTTTTTTAAAACTTTTCACACTCTAAGTGAAAATGAATCGCATATCTCGTAATTTGCACAACGACACAAGTTGCTCGTTGTGGCATATTTGGTTCAGCAACGGTAAAATACATTTTAATACGAGAGATTCTGACCACATCATTCGAATTATTTTACTGAAAAAGAAAATTCTAAGGTATTTTCTACATTTAATTTGATTTTCCATAGACTTAAAGGATACGATCTAGCAACTGACAGTCACCGGCCTCTTTCGATCTATACCACTTACCAAGAGTGAGCATTTTGAGGGTTCACATGAGTTTTGTTGTGATACCCGATCTAATTAATACGGTAATTCGTAGAAGCAGCTTGTTGGGATGTTTGTGGATGCTGCCTGGTGTAGCTGTATTGTTCATTACCACACATACCCTAGCTATACGCCATATCTACACCCACATCTTGAGTTTACTTATCTAATCTTAAGCGTATTAAAAGAGATGCTTCTTCCAAGAGGGTAGAGTAATTCATCCTATTAGCTTGACCATCTGATAATGTATCTTTCACCGTATTATAATAAATGCTTCTTTTGAAAGCATATAATATTTTATTTCTATTCGTTGAAATATAACTGCTTCTGTGAAAAGTGAATAATAGTCTACCTCCTTTCTTATCATGCCGGACCTGTTGAAGTGAAATATGTGATAAAAAATGATTAGAACTAGGGCGTGGGTGTGGGTGTGGGTGCGGGTGTGGGTGTGGGTGTGGGCGTGGGTGTGGGTGCGGGTGTGGATGTGTGTGTGAGTGTGGGTGTGGGCGTGGGTGTGGGTGTGGGTGTGGATGTGGGTGTGGATGTGGGTGTGGGTGTGGGTGTGGGGGTGGGTGGGTGTGGGGGCGGGGGTGGGCGTGGGTGTGGGTGTGGTTTTCTCGTCGTAGCGTCGCGCAG